ACTTCTGCACAAAGTTACAGGGAAAAGCAATTTATAATCTTTAGAAAGTTATGGAAATGTAAGACACTATTAGTTTAAGATTCTACCTTTAAAACTTATGTATCGTGTATAAGAGAAATTTATATTTACTATGGATGGTATTGGATGAAAGGTGTATCGTGCAGGAATTAACTTGAGGATATGATGCTTTAATGTGAACTTATTCTCACTATGCCAAAATATAATTCACTTTTCTTCTAACATTCTGTGCCTCACATTTGAATTCATTCTTTACTCCTTGCTGTTTCCCAAACTGTTTTACTTTGTTATTTCATTTTTCTTTATATATAGGGGCAAAGAGTCATAGCCCTCCCTGTCCAGTTGTGCAACCTTCTTTTAATGACTATTCTGGAAGAAGGGTGACTTGGTCACCTTATCTCTTAATCATCCCAATTCATTATTGCTGTGGGGGCAGAAGATTGTTTCCTAATATGGGAGAACAGATGCTGAGTTCCTCCCCTCTGCCATTCTCCACGTGGCCTGGCAATCACCAAGTCTTACTGGATGTGTCTCCTCAATCTCTCTCAAATCAGTCCTTGAGTGCAAGACATGATAGTTTTGCTCCTGAATCACAGAAGTATCCAACTAACTAGTCTCTTCCCTTAATCATGTGCTGCCCTTCTGTCTACCCAATCTGTCCACTCAACATGCTGGAGTTATCATGCCTGAACCGAAACCTCTGTATATCAGTTCCCTAATTAAACCTTGGATGGCTCTCACTGTCTTACAGAAGAGCCCTATATTGTCTAGACATGACAAGTAAGGCTTTCTAGATTTCAGGCCATTTCATCTCTCCAGTGTCTCCTCTCACGCTTGCACCCAACAATACTGAGTGGTTCCCAGTTCCCAAATTCACCATACCCTTTTTATTTTTTAATAGGAGGAAAGGCATATAAATTTATTTAACATGTATGCACAGGAGCCTTCAGAATGAAGATCCCTCCAACGGAATGCAGAAGCTTATATACCATCTTGAGGTTACAGAAAAAAAAAATGTAGGTTCAGAGTACAGCCAAAAATAGGTTTTAGTGGCAAGACAGTTTAAACCATACCCTTTCTTAAAGCTTGGTGCTTTTTTTGTGATTCCATCTAACAATAATTGCCCTCCCACCACTATTTTCCACCTGTAAAATTCCTATTTATTCTTTAAAATTCTGTTCCAGAATCACCCTTTCTTTCATGCCTCTTTCAGATTAACCCAGATATAAACTACTATGTCTTAGCAGTACATACTTTCATTTTGGTACATATTACACTGATTTATAGTTATTTGTTAGAAAAATTTGTTTTCCCTTCTAAGGCTGTTGAGCTTCTTATGGGCAAAGATCATGTCTTATTAATCTTTGGGTCTTGAGAAACTACCAATGTGTCTGAGATATTATAGCTACTTTATAAATATTTCTTAAGGAAATGAATGGATGGATTCTTTTAAGTGAAAGCAATAACATGTCCTATATAATTCGTCGGATTGAACCCTAGTAAAGGAAATATCTGATGGGGTTCATCACTTATTTATTGCTCTTAGTTCTTTTCACCCTTGTGACATTTATGTCATCTTGTAAACTCTAAGGATGTAAGTATCTTATCCACATGAAGGACTGACAGAAACTGACCACACTAGCCTTGTCTGTGGGCCACACGCCTTGTGACATTAATATCATTATAGATGGGTGATTTCCCCCTTCACCTCTTCTATATGACTTTGGGCAGCTGTTATACTGAAATTCATGAAAAGAAGAAACAATTTCTGTTATTTCAGAAGCAAAACTGCTCTCTGAAAAAGAGCTCAGTCTTTTCACTACTGAAGGTTGTGCTCTTCTCTCTTCCAAAGGTAATGAGAATGTAGTCAAGCGTTGTACATCTCAAATCCCATTGATCAGAGTTGAACTGGAAACCAAAGAGCCTGTAGCCATGCTCCCTGCCTGTTTGATTCATGGGCTTTTGTCCAAGAGTCCCTCTGTTGAATCAGTGCAAGCTGTAAACTAGCAACCCCCCCTTTTTACTATGATGACTATGATCAATGGGTAATAAGTGAGTATTCTCAATTTTAGCTAATTATGCTACTTCCCAGGAAACTCTAGGGGTAAAATGAGAAGTGTGTTATTTTTCTTTTATATTTATAATTATATTCTGTGCCTTCTATTATTTCACACCACTGAGTTTCACCTTCTTTTTCTCATAAGGAACATGTTCTACTTAGAAGTGAGAATTAATACCTATTGTAATGGTTCTTTTATGAGTTAATTAACCAAAAAAATGATGAATAGACCAAAAGTTGACATCAATGTAGTTTCTGCATCTTTTCAAGTTCTATTTTATAAGATATGAATTTGCTTTAAAATATATGGTTCTAGATAAAATAAAGTGATGCAAATTAGTTTTTTCTTATTTCAAATAATCTCTGAAACTAATACAATTTGAATTTCGCTTTTCTATGAGTCAGATTTTGGAAATGAAAGTTCATTTCGTGGAAAGCAAACTTAGCTCTTGCTTTTCTGCCCTCTCTCTTTCCTCTTTTTTTCCTCCTTCATTTGTTAATTTGATAAATATTCACTGGGTATATCATTTGTTGATTGGATTTTGGTAGGCACTGGGAAGCATCTAAACTTTGTGAAGTTACTGCTCCCAAAACCTTACAGAGAGACAAACAAAAAGTCAACTAGGAAAAGAGTTGTCACAACAATGGCAGAGGAATAGTACAAGCAGCAGGTGCTGCAAGTTCAGATGCCAGTCTTTACCTCGCTGACATTTTCAATCAGAGCTCTCTGGCCTGCCATCCTTTGTGATTTATTTTTAATAGTTCTTTTCATCTCGTTCCAGGATATAGACAGATTCAGGAACACATCACTTGTTCTATCTCTTTTCTCTCTTACTGCCTCAACTCTACTTCTGAGCCCTTGAAATAAAATTTGGAAGCTGTAGCCAGTCTATGTTGTGGATGTCAAGTTACTATCTATCCACTTCCTCTGGAGTAAAGGAGATGGAGTTTTGTGAATCAGAAAAGGGACATTTTTCTCCACTTCTGTATGTCAACTATACCTGCATGTTTAAAACCTTATAAAAAGAAAGTATTTGACCATATGTTCAGCAGTGAATTGTTACCAAATTGAGGATGCCTCATTAATAACTCTCCTTCTTTCCAGTTGTTATTCAGACTGGACCCTGGTTGTGTTGTCTAACCCGTTGTGAATGTGTGCACACTCTTCCCTTAACTCCATAAACCAATGCTGTTCCACGTCCTTCTCTCCCTTTTGGCAATGGGCAAATAATCCTTCACTCACAGAAGCAACTAGTGAGGCTATTTGACCAATGACCAACTTAGGGAACATCATTTTCACCACTATTTTGTCTTTTGTCCCCAGGTGAGTCCTTTTGAGCAAACTTCTGCTAGTAGTTCTGTTAAGTGTATCCCCAGGGAATCAACCTCTCTCTTGTTCACATCTTTCTTTCCATTGCAGTGGCTATAATATGTAATTGTATCTTAACTGCTTTTATGCTCTTGTATTTCTACCACTGCACTGTAAGTGCCTTGAGGACAGGGACAGACACTGTGGCTTGATCACTATAGTACACTCAGAGCAGACCACACTTCCTGGACTATGAAAGGCACTTGGTAAAGACTTGTTTTGTTTTTATTTACTTATTGTTAATTTCAAATAATAATTGCGTATATTTATGAGGTACCGTGTGATGTTTTGATCTATGTATAGATTATAGAAAGGTTCAGTCAAGCTAATTAACATATCTGTCACCTCACCAACTTATTTTTGGTGATGAGAATGTTATTTGTTGAATGGATGCTCAAGATTGAGAGAAAGTCACTGCAGACTATAGCGGGTCAGAGGAAAGGCACCAAACCCAGGCAATCAGAGAGAGCTAGGGAAGATTTCAGAGGAAGATACACCTGAAGATACTGACCCTGAACAACTGAGACATGAAGAGTGATTACAAGTTAACTCAACTTTTAGGAAGAGGGCAATCCCATTTTTAAAAAGGCATGGACAATGACCTAGCTTTGAGAAAGAGCCCATCGAAAGACAGGCAAAAAAATTCATACAGCTATGCCTCGTGTTAACTATGCCTGAGAATCAAAACAAAAGTCAGATTGGTATACATATGTGTGCACCTATATCTGTATATAATGAGAAAAGAAACTTTAGTTTAATTAGATATAATTAAAAATCAAATCCATCAACCTCTAAAACCCTTGATATTTGATCCAAAGCCCTCTGTATGACTAAACAACATTTCCATTAACTTTCTCAGTATTGTCTTTTTTCTTCAAGCTAACTTTCAGCTTTTTATATCTTTCAACATTTTGATAGTATTTTTAGAATAGGTCCACTGCAGACAACAGTATGGTTAAGGAAAGAGATGTGAACTTAACTACCTTGCATGAAAGTGTTACATATAGGAAAACCATTTCAAGTTCTAAACACTCAACTTAAAAATGATTATTTAGAAAATTGCTTGTTTCTAAATTGAGGTTTTGGGTGTACAAGGAACAACTGTCAACAGAATGAAGCAGAAGGCATACTGGTCCTGAAGTCCAAATGTCTACACCGTTAATTCATCATCTGTTGAATGGGATACATAATAATCTGCTCTATAGCCTTTGTAGGTATTTCCAAAACTGAAAAAGAAATTATATGTGAAGTGAATCACCTAACAGATGGTAGACAGTTGTATTTAGTTGTAACACAAGATCATTTTCTATTGTAGTTAATTTTACATTAGAAAATAAAAATTTTATAATCCTTGCAATAGCTACAATATTATATATGGAAAAATATGTCCAGAAATTTAGGTTAGTAAAAATAAAGCTGTACTTTTGAAATATACAATTTTAAATAGATGTTTCTCTATTTATGACACAAACACAGCAAGTGTGTTTACATGGAAATGGCTGTTTTCCTCCTTAGCATGAAGATAATACCCATTGTAACCATTTTGTTTCATAGAATGATTGAAGATAGTGGGAAAAGAGGAAATACCATGGCAGAAAGAAGACAGCTGTTTGCAGAGATGAGTAAGTATGGAATTTTTAAGGAACAGCCTATAGTCTCCATTGAATACTCATGGAAAGGCTAGAAATAACCTCTTCATCTTTATGGCATTTGTACTTTGCCTTAAAATCCTAAGCTTTTTGCATAAAGTGTATATTTGGCCACTTTTGTCTCCTACTGGGTAAAAGTTAAATTTAGTCAGTGACACATCATAATTTGTTACTAGACTGTATATCTTATATGAAAGAAAAAGTTTATGGACCTATATGTGTATATTCACACACACACATACAGAGGAGATACTCGGTAAATACTAAATAGTGTTGACATTAATACAGTCCACTACACTTTAAAGTCTGTGTTAATCCCCCTGCACTATCACCATGGCTGGCATATTGTGAGCATTAGGTAATATTTGTGAAATGAAACATGGAATATCTTCCCTGCAAAATGATATTGTATGTTCATATGGCAATGGGGAGTTAGGTGTGATTTCTGGACTAAACTATAAGGTGTCATGGACCTCATCTGTCCTAAAACCAGTTTTTTAAAAATACTAAGGAAAAGAAGAGACAAAAGGAGCTTCGAGGTGACCTGCTACACAAGAAAAACCAAACTAAGATTATATTGACTGACTCTAGTGGATAACCTATTACATAAAGGATATTGGTTGATGCAAGTGTGTGGCTGTTGTTTAAGTAATCAATTAGTAGTGTCTAGTCTTATAGACCATTTTTCTTATTCATAAAGAAGAACTTGACATTTGTGGGAAAACACACATCTCAAATTAAATGTTATAAAGAAAAAAGTACGATTCTCTTATTGTCTTTTTATCTCTCCTTCCTGCATAAGGAATGAGGATGAGCAGGAGTGAGTGGTAAGCCTTTTTCCCTGAGAAGGCAGTAGACAAAATTAGGTTTCTACTAAAAATTGGAAGTGATTGGCAAGAATGAGGGTCAGAGCAGATAAAGGAAAGTCCCAGATAATAAGATTCATATTTTCCTTTATCGTTTCCCAATAATCTAGCAGCACCAAGGCAGTATTAGAACTAACAAAGAGGAAAGAAAATTAAAATTGCTGTAGGGAATCTCAATCATACTCCTTGCTTTTTCCACTTTTAGAGATGTGCCTAGACTGTTTGTGAGAGTTTCGGCCAAGACTTTCCAATTTCCTAGGCCACGTTGGGTACTGTACCTTCACTTGTGGCATGGTTGATTGCCTGGAATTCTAACCATTTTTGTAGACACAAATCTAACAGTTCAAGGAGCCTAGTGACTGCCTGCCCATCTAAACAAAATCCAAGGCAGCACATGCATCCTCCCACACCACAGATTCTTTGGCTGAAAATGTAAGAGTCTATCACGGGCCAATGTCTTGTCAAACACACAAAAAATTATTAATATTTACCATGGAAAAGTAATAAAGAAAATAATAAAAGGAAATTCTTGAACTTATCATTGTAACACTAAAGACTGTATCAGCCAGCATACTGTAAGAATTATAAAAGTGTGCTTATTTAATGATTTTAGAAATATAATACTTATCTGGGTTTAAGTATTCCAGTGCTTTCTGCACCTGTTACAGTGCCTGGCACAGACAAATGGGTATGTTGCAAACGTCTATTAACTTAAAATTGGCCAGCTCAAAGAAAGCTTGACATAAGTGTGTGGTTGTTGTGTAAGTAATTATTAGTTAGTAGTGTTTCTCTTATAGACCATTTTTCTTATTCGTAAAGAAGAACTTGACGTTGATGGGAAAACACACATCTCAAATTAAATGTTATGAAGAAAAAAGTATGATTCTCTTACTGTCTTTTTATCTCTCCTTCCTGCATAAAGAATGAGGATGAGCAGGACTGAGTTTTATAGCCATAGAAACAAAACAACTCCAACAAAACAGCTTCTTTGAGTGAGAGAGACTTAGGTAAATTGAGCATTCATTTCCCAGATTATAACGTTATCTTTTCATAGAAACTTTACAAGTGATGCCATGTAGTTTTCTTAAATAGTTTTATGAATGCTCCTGGTTAAGGATCAGAATAGATTAGCGAGCCAAACAAATATCTATCTTTCTTACCTGGGTGTGCCAACTCAGATGTCCACAAAAATAGCTAAATGTGTCTGACCTTAATAATCCATTAATTTGAACAACATGTTTAGATCAGCACTGAGTAGGATTCAACTGGCTAAAACAATTGGCTGGTTTCAAAGGGAGGAACTGATTTTGATAGGTAGAATGTTATACAAAGAAGAAAAGTAAGCTCATTGAGAATGTGTTAAGTTGTTGAAAAATATATGGGTATCCCAGCTCTATCAGTAAGACAGAAAAGAAAGAAAATGAAGCTATTATCAGAGAAGACTTGAAAAATTAACTTCTTCCAGTAATACCTGATATCTAGACAGGGAGCAAACAAGGACTAGGAACTTGTAAATCTGGTCAGCTAAGTAATATATATATATATATTACAAAAACCAGCAAAAGAAAGCACCAACAATATTCTTTGCTTTAGAAATTATAAATGTGAAAGAAAAATTACAATAAATGGAATTAAACAAGTAGGGATGACTTTATTCAAGAATATTGCAAGAGGTGAGAGAGTGTATATGAACTCAACTCCCCTGAGAAAAAAGGCAGGAGTGATTTTAAGAGCTGGAGTGAGCTGTGGAAAAGTACTTAAGGACTTCAGGTGAGAAGTTGGTCCGTGTGATTAGGCCATCCATTTGCTAATTGTTGCAATTAAAAAATTAGGCTTCTGTCCTCCAGCAGTGACTGGGAGATTGGGTGATAAATGCCACAATGGTTGCATTTCAAAGGGCTGCCTCTCAGGTCCTTGAAAAAGAGATTCCAGGGTTGTAAAATTAGCAAGTGACTGGGAGATTCACATCTCAACAGAGAGGCAGAGAAAGAATTGACCTTCTCTGTGGAAAGTTTTCTTCTATGGAAATTTTTCTAAAGTAAGCGCTCTAAGAAGGGTAGATCAGTGGGCCTAGAGTCCAGAAGGACCCTTTCTAAAGTTAGGCAAGGTGAGGGGAATGTTAAAGCCATCTTGGCCTTACAAAGGCCAAAGAATAGAGAAAATTGATAAGGAGAACAATTGATAAGGAAGTTTGACAAATTAAAGTGATTGTAGCACTTTTAGATGTTAAACATTTACTCTGAGCTCATTACCACAGCAGCAGAAGCTGGAAGAAGGAGAAAGAAATGAAATTAAGAAAGAAAAGGAAAGAAAAGCAGAAAGAAATGAAATTAAAGAAGCATGGACTCATAGATAAGCAGAAAAAGACTAACCTTATATAAAATACTGGGTGGCCACCTGCTTTGATTTAAGAAATTCTTGGCAAGTTGCCCTTAACCAAAAATTCTCTTTGCTACAATGCCCTAACTAACAGTTTATTTAGTGCCTTGGATTAAAGCTGAAAACCCTGTAGTTAAATGTAAATATCATCCTTACCTTGGCCTTTTCAGCTATCAAATAAGTTTATCAGCTCAAATAAGTTTATCAGACTGAAAGCAGAATAAATTGTGTGCTCTTGGAATCAAGCTCTCCTTGTCTTCTGTTTTTCTACTCTCAGAGCACATTTAACTCTGCCTTGTGTGATAGTGACCATGACCATGCCACTTACTGCTGTGAGCTCCTTTTGAGGGACAGACCCTGGACATGTCCCTTCAAATCCATTCACCTTTGATGCTGAGTCAATGTTTGTTGAAAAGCACATTTTTTTTTTTTTTTTGTAAAAATGACACAGGCTGGGTAGATTTTAATGGAAGGGAAGTAGGGAAGTGATTGGAAAACACTCTTTGAGAACATGAAAGGCTGCCTAACGAGATAAGGAAGGTCTTTGGGAGAGAGCAGAGTGATGACCCTGGCCTCTAAGCAGAAAGAGACCTGACATTTAAGGGGGGCAAATACAGCTACTCAGCAAACACTGCTGACTTGTTTGAGGCCCTTGTTCACAGTGTTGGCTGTGGTTGGAATGGAACAATTGGAATGGAACCTAGGGCAGGCTTTTGAAATGTGTACTATGAGTTTTAAGAACACTGGTTTCAAAAATTCGGAAAAATGACACCAAAACAATTGACAAATGGCCCACCCCCATGGGCCATGGTAGATACAGTGACTATTTTCACATGCTTCTTCATTTCTCATGCTCCTCCTTCTGTTTAAGATGTTAATATCATTGACCAGCCTGGAAACTCTTGTGTCACCACCCTAGCCTGGTCTCTTGCTTTTTCTGGCCCCTCTACTGCTCTTTTTCTGTCTCTTAGTACCCCACTAAAGTCATATTTACAAAAGTTTTTGGGGTTTTTTTGTTTCTTTTTTTTTTTTTTTTTTGTTACTCACAGAACTTTTCCTTTATTGCTATGGCTCTCAAATGTTCAAGGAGACCCCAAAACCACCTCCCATATTTTCATAAGCCAGTTTGAGAATAGTCAGCATATAAACTCAACATCTTCCAGTCCTGCCCACGTGTTGTCAAGGCTTCTAGGCATGAAGCAGCCAGAGGGGGACTCATTATTAGCTCCACCAACAGTGCCCATCGCAGAGAAGCCGATGTTCTCCCCAAGGCCACTGCCTCCCAGTGTTCCCAAAGCCACACAATCTCTTAACAGCTACCAAACTGCCAGGCACTGTTCAGAAGTGTAGAGGGAGTTCCTGTTCCTAATTTTGTACCTCGTTTTGTCACCTAGAATGTAGAATAACCCTATTTGTATGCACAGTCTCCTCTTGGAAGAATATTCCCAATCTTGGCCCAGTCAGTCACACGCCTACATTTTATATGTTTATTGGTAATTCCTGGAATGTATTACAGCTCAAGTCAAGAACTCCATTTCCATATCTCCACCTGGACACCCCACAGGCACTTAGACACTTTAGCCCAAAACTGAACTCTGTTTTCACCCATCTACAAACCTGTTCCTTCCTGTTTGTACTTTAGCTCAGTGAAGGACACTCCATCCCATTCAGTTGCCTAACATAGATATCAATTTTACTCCCAAACTCCTTTACCTCCCTTTCAATATCTCTCTCTCTCTCTGTTTCTCTTTCTCTCTCTCTCTTTCACACATACACACACAGAGTCAATCAAAGAGTTCAGATACAAGGTTCATAGTCTTCACTTTTTTTTCCAGCATATTATGGGGGTGCAAATGTTAAGGTTATGTATATTTCCCTTGTCCCCCCACCCCCAGGGTTCACTTTTATTCTATAAATATTTGTTGAGTGGATTTTTAAATGACATGACATATTTAAGAATCTAAATGACTATGCTAAAGGTTTTAGAATGAACTGTCAAAACATAGAAGGCATAAAACACAAGAATTATGTCAAAATGTTCAAAGTATAATAAGCCGAAGTCAAAACTTAGGTAAGTCTGGTTGGTTGAATGGATTAATGAACAGCTGAGAAAAAAGCAGAAAGAAGGATGAGGGAGGGAAAGAAAAAGGGAGGAAGGAAAGGATAGAAGGACAGAGGAGGAAAGGGAGGAAAGGGAATTTTGAAAAGAGGGCTAAAGAAAGAAAACAGGATTTGCAATTGATAAGAGTATGAGCAATCATTCATATTTATTACTTTATTCAAACTATGACATGGGTATAAGAGGGTTCGGGAGATGGTACAAAAGCCCTAAGTTACCTTAAATGAACTAGCTTTAAATGTTTTATGATGAAAAGTTTCAAATATATACACAAGTAGAAAAAATGATATATATCTCTACCTGTAATTTAAGAACCAGGATTGCTCTACTGACTGTATTTCCTTACTCGTTTGTTTAAAGTCCATCATTTTAATAAAGGAATTAAGTCAGCAAATTTCACTTTTTGCTAAGATTACCAGACTGATAGATCAGGAAAATACCATCAGATAAAAATGAACCTTAATTTCAGCAAGATATTGACAAAGGCTCTTAGACTGTGCATGTGTTGGAGAGATGTGGGCTGGGTCACCAGACAGATAGATAAACAGGCAATGTCATGACCATGCCTAGAAAAACAACTACTGAGTCAGCCAACTTGACTGGTATAGAGGAAGGCTCTATCTGTGGCCCTGTTCAGGTCCTTAGTTTTATAATCAACGACTTGGATGAAGACATGGAAGACATGCAACTAATTCCAAAGTAAGCTTTGAGTTTATAAACTTTGAAGAGAAACCACACATGTAAAACTGAATGAAATTCATGGTTTGTTGGGGCAGAGAAAAAGAAATTTATTTTAAACAAGGCTGATAAACAGAGCATAAAGCATATGCAGCATATCTCAGCTCAGCTTCCTTTGGTCCCTTTATGGATGGATCCTGCAGCTACCACTTACCTTGTCTCTGCAAGGTCGTGTGCTGCCATATCTGCAAAGCTAAATTTTGTTGTGCATCATATCTCTTTTAATAGTCAGGCCTTAAATCATCAGCTAAGAAGAATTTACATAATTAGGAAACATTTACAGACCTACAGACCCCTTCCTGATTCTAGAACAAAACACTGTGTCAGTTAAGTCCACTTTGTCACAGGACAGGAGAGAGCAGTCAGTGCCCTCCTGTTCCAAAGCCTCATCCCTGCATCCCTCTTTATTGCATTTTTTGTAGAGGTGCACCTTAGCCAAATCACCCCCAGGACCTCTATTAGAGGCAGGTGCAGGGGTAGCAGGGTTACTATTCCCAGAGGATAAGGTCTTGCTGGAACTAAGAAATTTAACTGTGTGGTACATCGCAGTCCTTTTATATCAGGGGCTTAAATCATTATTTTTGAAGAATTTACACAAATCACCTATGCCCATAATGTTTTCTTTTAAGGGATTATTTCCAGATATTAAGAATCTCCTGATGGTTGAGTCAGTCTCAGTATCAATAAAAGTACATTCTCATCCAGGGACAAGGCGGATTTAGCATTCCGGTATTTCTGATCACCTCTCTGTCTCTGGCTATCTGGCATCCCAGAGAGTTCATTTCCCACATAAGCCTCTCAGATTTACAGAGGCCATCAAACTGGGAAGGATTTTTGAAATGAAATTCCAGTGACAAAATAAGAATCTTAAAAGATATCAGAAAGGTTCAAAGCATGAGCTAAAAATTAAAAGAAACTTACCAGATAAATATGAAGTCCCATCCTTAGCCCCCAAATAAGCATTTAAATAGAAAACAGGAAAGATCTGACTTATATAGAAGTACATATGATATTTTAAAACCATTTTGTAATTAACTGCAAACCTAATAAAAGTCAGCAGAATGATCCATCTATTAAAAAAAAAAGATATCAAAGGTGGTAATAATTACTCTGTATATATTCTATACAAGTAAGGTAATAGCTGTAGCAATTGGGTTAATTTTGGATGTCTTGTATTAAAGAGATATTAGCCAGTCATAGAACAGAGTGACTAGAATGTTTAAGGGGCTCAAAACCATGTTTGATGGTAATGAAAATAATAATAGCAACTGCCCTGTTTTGAAGCCCTATCATGTGCTAAATTTTGTGGTAGACACTATACCTGAAATGGCTGTGAAGGTGAACATCTTTTACCTAAGAAAGTTAAGGAGAGACTACCTTCCTGGCTAACCTTTGAAGTCCGTGATGACAGGGACTTTTGTACATAATTTTCAGATGATAATGAAGATGCTAAGAATGATAATGGTAGCTGCTTTGTAATATTTGAGAAATGAATTATCAAGTGGCAGGGAGAAAAGATTATACAGTTCCAGAGGGGAAACCAGATCAAATAGGCTGAAGTTACAGGGAGGCAAATTCAAGCTCAAATATAAAAAAGAAATTTCTATCACATATTGTTGCTCAGAAATAGTACAGGAAGCCTTTTAAGGAGGCCCATATCATTGGGTACCCAGTACAGAAATCAGGACTTTACATGTCATTCTCGTTTTGTACATAAGGAGGTTGAGATTCCAAGTAAAAACTTGTTGAGGTTCACACAACTAAGGAATGACAAAATTAAAGTTGACTGACTTCAGAGTCCATTTATTTTCACTAAGTTACAATCTTGCCTGTCATTGGATATCCCACATGGCCATTGGCTAAATGTCCAACTCTTGAGAGCATGTCTAGGGGAATTCCTGCATCCAGTGAGGGTAGATCCCCACCTCTCTCTGATCCTGCAAGTGCTTCGTATCAGTGAGCCTGTTTGTCAAGTAATAAACCTTCTTAAGAATGAATGTTTAATGATCTGCTTCATAAAAACGCAAAGTAATAGGACTTCTGATAACATTTTAAGTGGATCTAAAGAGATCAGTTTGAGTTGAGGAACTCCTAAACGCTCTCAGTGAGGAATGCTTGCTAATTCATCCTGAGTTTCATTGGGAAAGCACATCATTCGCCTCCTAATATAATTGCTTCCAGGCAAGTTCATTTCCTCACCACTCTGTTTTATTGTGAAGCATCATGTAGCACATTTTACAGGTGGGGCCACTGGTAAAGAGGAAGTGCAATCCATGTCACAACATAGCTACACGCCTCTTTATCTGTTATGAACCATAATATGTGGAAGCAGAGAAAAGCAGACATTTGTGGAAAGGCTGATATATTCTAGACACAGTCTAGAGATGAGCTCATTCAAAGAGGAGCAGGGGGATTGTGAAGAGACTGGCTCAAGCCGCACAGAGACTCTGCGCTGGAGCCGTGGGAACTATAGCTGGGTACGAAGCTAGAAAGAGCAGCGCAGGGTCTTGGATTCTGAGTGGGGCTTTCAGACCTGGTGTTGTGAGCATCAGGTGTAATGCTGGATTCCTGGGCAGAAGGGTGGAATTGGAGAGCGTATGGGGAACATGTTCCCTCTATGTTAGGGAGAACCGGAAGCCACTGTATAAGGAAGAGTAGAGGTGGTCTTTAGAGAGGAGTCTTCTCCTCTGAGATGGGTTGGAAGGATCGCAGGAGAGATATTAGTAATAATAACGAAGACACAACCCTTACTGTGCCAGTGTCCTAAATGCTTTCGGTATATTCACTCGTTTATTTTTACAACAGTTTTATGAAATAAATACCATTATTATCATCAACCCCATCTTCCAGATGAGAAAACTGAGGCTTCTAAATGCAATTAGCACAAGGTCACACAGAGAAAATGCCCAGCTTTCCGCATGTGGTCACCTGACAGCCGTGTTTTAATGACTAATAACAATGAACTTAAAAGGATTATTTGATGATAGTGTCTGATACAATCTAGCTGTCTTGCTCTAGTTCCCAGCTTGAGCAGATTGTTCTCAGGAGTGGCAGACACAACAAGGATGAGATTGTGTTCCTTGGTCCACGAACATGGTTGACAAGCTGATCTCCAATGTTGATGTTATGTGCTGTTTTCTTCCCCTAGAACCTGAGGAATCTAGGACAGACCTTTTCAAGTCTTAAGGTTATATTTTTATTCTAATAAAAATAAAAACAAAACTAGGTGTATGGGTTTTATCAGCAGCGGGTTTATTTGTAAATGTTATAAATTCCTTTCCACACACATGGCATACCATATGTGTACTTTTCCCCCACCAGGGGCTCAAGATCTGGATCGCATCCGGCTCTCCACCTACAGAACAGCATGCAAGCTTAGGTTTGTTCAGAAGAAATGCAATCGTGAGTATGCCCATTGTTTGCACTAATTACCAACATGAATCTTATAGTTTACATTTAGTAGCAAGTTTATTAAAACTAAGTGTTTTTACAAATCGACAAAAATATGTTTATGCAATACAAGGAGTACTAAGTTCATTAAAACTAGGTTTTCTCACAAATTGATAAAAATATGTTTATGAATAAAAGAGGTATTATACACACAAGGTAGAGAGATTGCTAGTAAGTAATCCTGAAGTCTGAATTACACTTCACTATTAAAGTATTGAAATGGATGAGTCTCTCTTTGTGTATGCATTATAATCCTGGCCTTCAAATGGTTTAAATCTAAAAGAGTGTTTTTCTTCCTTTCTCTAACCTTGCTATTGTAAAGGCAGTGCCATCAAAATTGTTTCCAAGAACTTTATAAAATATCAAACATTAAATTTTCCTTATGTTTGTATTTTGTTTATAAGTATAGGAAAATATTTACAAGCTTCTGGAAAACATTGAAGTTTTTTTTTTTTTCTGAAATCACAAAATTAGCCCTTTGTATCAGAGTATGAACTACATTTGCCTGCATCAGACAAGAGTACGAGAAGAGACGATATTTAAAGAAACAAAGGAAGTTGCTTTAGCTTTTTTCCAGATTTTAAATTTAAGCAGTGAGCTAGATAATGAATCACAATGGGGATTTTACATTCCTTGGTGGGTCAATGCTTTCATCATATGACCACATCCATTTTCTCTTGGAAAAAAAAAATACTGCTTCATAGTTCATGTGTAAGAACTTATTCTCTTTTGAAAACTGACTGCTATAAAAAGTAATGACTCTTCTCCTTTTCTAATTAGTATTGGATGAATTTTTTAAAATAAAAACCATGATGTTCTCTTGAGTACATACACATAGTTCTTGGATAACTGGCATGGGAATCAGATTCTTGGGGAACGTGGGAACCTGACATCTCCATGTGTACCCTCCTGGAGTCTCCAGCAGATGTTTGCCAGGCCGTGAGCAGGCCACCCTAGCCCCAGACTTCTGGGATTATAGCTAATTGTGATGGGAAGTCAGGCAGTGTGCAGTATGCCTCATGTTGCTCATCTACGGCTCATTCTTCAGCCCCTAAAACTAAAAATGGGACTGAAGTTTGGGGCAGGAGGGAAAGGGAGAAAACATAGTTTGGTTGTCTTAGACAATTTTCTACTGTGTATAACAGAATGCCTGAAACTAGATAACTTATACAGAAAAGGAATTTATTAACATTTCTCATAGTTATGGAGACTGAGAACTCCATGGTCAAGGTGCTGCATCTGGTGAGGGCCTTCTTGCTGGTGAAGACTCTCTCTGCAAAGTTCCAAGGTGGCAAAAGGCATTATATGAGGAGGGGGCTGAGCATGATAGCTCAGGTCTCTCTTCCTCTTATAAAACTGCCAGTCATGTTCCCATGATAACCCATCAGTCCATGTAGCCATGAATGCATTAAACCATTCATGAGGGCTTTCCCTCTTAAAGGCCCCCCCCCTCTCAACACTACCACACTGGGGATCAAATTTCGACATGACTCTGGGAGGAGACAGACATTCAAGCCACAGCATTGGTCAAACAGCAAATATGTGTTTTGACTCCCCACAGAAAGCTAAACCAATCCAAAAAGAATAGCACAAAAAGCACTACAGATGTTAGGGAGAATTTGTGGCTGTATCTGTAGTTCTGGGTATTAATGAGTAAAAAGCTCCTTCCAGTGCTGGTGTTAGGGAACAAGAAAAGATTCCCTCTTCCCTCCATCACCCATATTAAAACAAAAAGAAGAATATTCATGTTTTTAGCAATGAAAAGGCCTGGGATTCTCCCACGTTCTTGTCATGTATTACAACTACAGTGACCCTCAAAACTGGAGAGAGGGTGTAGGGTAAGGATAGGAGTTCTGTCCCCTTTAAAGCTTTGCCAAGCAGAGCCTTCTTTAGGCTCCTTTCATTTGAGCTACAGATTTTAAAAAGAAGAAGAAGAAAGAAAAGGAATAAAAACACTATGAAATTATAAGAAGGAACAACAAAAGAAGAAGAAGCAGATGAAGAAGAAGAAAGATTCGGTGATTTGGCAGCCCTGAAGCCAACATTAAAGTACACACACTGTGTTGTCCCTAACTCGAATGCACCAGCAACCCATGGGCCTTACCCCATTCCTTCTGCTCTTGGAGAAAAAGAAAGGCCCTTTCTCATTCATGAGCATCTCCTTTTCCTCTTCCTGTTCTTTTTTGGCCCTCATTCTTATCCTCTATCCAGAATTGTCTCAGAATTTCTTAAAAAAAAAAAAACAGTGGGCAAGAATTGAGTATGATAATCCATCCCTGTGTGAGAATAGAACCTTTATGCCTATCCAGGGGACCCTTAGAGTGTCCATTCATTTACCTCTAAATTTAATAAATATATAATGAGCTCCTGCTGTATGTTCAGCACTGTGCTAGGTATCAGGGATGGTGTTGTGGTGAATAAGATGCAATCCCTGCCTTCAAGTTGCTCAAAATCTAATTGGGTAGATGGATTTTTCAACAGATTTGTTAAAACATGTAGAAGGGTGATAATAGAAATAGGTGCCTGGTGTGTAGGGGCCCCAGAAAGACAGTGCCCTGACCTGGGAGCTGGGGGCCTCTGGGAGAACTCTGCTGGAGGAAAAGACATCTGGGTAGGCCTCAAAGAATCAGTAGACATTAAGCAAAGAAGTCCTATTTGCTTTACAGTGTACCTTATAAAATTTACTCATATTAGGGTGAGAAAAGATATTACATTTTAGATAAAATGGATGAAGTTAAAGCTCAAGGTAGAAAAACAAGCATATTGTGAATGCTCTGCTAAGTTTCTTTGTAAAACTGTTTCTACCTTGATCAGACCATTTAATGGTCTGCACGTACTGTATGTGTTTGCTAAGTTTTCCTTCCTGCCAATAAGTTTAACAGCTGTGATGTTCAGAAGTACTTGTAAAATGCTTGCCCAATGGATCTTGGCTTATTGGAATGAACGTTGAAGCCTTCCTGTAAGGGAGTTAACCAACCAGAAGCAGTAGTGTTTATGTGGCACAACCCAAGTCAGCATTAAATATACATCCCTGTATTAGAGGAAGCTAATTTTAGTCTGCAATAAAACCTCACCCACAATAAATTATGGTACCTTATAATGGAGTTTTACTCTTCAATAAAAGATATTTTAAAATCCAGGTAATGCATTTTTAAGTGCATTGATTTATTGGAAAGTGTCCTAGTGCATCCTACTACATTTGGGCTGCTATAACAAAAATACAATAAACCAGGTGGCTCATAAACAACATTTATTTCTCATAGTTCAGGAAGCTGGAAAGTCCAACATCAAGGTACTGGCAGATTCGGTGCCTGGAGAGGGCCTGCTTTCTGGTTCATAACAGTTCATGACAGCTTCTCACTGTGTCCTCACATGATGGAAGGAGCAAGACAGCTCTCTGGGGCCTCTTTTATAAGGGCATGAATCCTAATCATGAAGTCTCTGCCCTTATTACCTCATTATCTCCTAAAAGCCCTCCTCCTAAAACCATTACAGTGGGGTATTAGATTTCAATATATGAATTTGAGGAGGACACAAACATTCAAACTATAGGAAAAACTCATTATAGCATTTACTTCATAGAAATCAACAGATCTTAACTCAGAATAGGTTGTTCATTTTTAAGCCTAGACCTAATTTACAGGCAAAATTTATCGTGTATATTTTATTAATAATATAAACTAATAATGTAAACTAAGTTTAAAAACTACTTAATGGAGTAGGAGAAAACATAAAAACTGGCACTTGTAAAGTCATCACCTAGAAAAAAATAAATATTGTCTGGATACAGCATGGAGTGTATAGGTTTTTAGGAGATTTCTTTTTTATCTAAATTCAAAGATTATAAATGTTAGTTAATTCCCCATTGTTCATTCCCCCAGCCTCTACGGCCATGTTTACAGTTTCCAATATAGAGCATTGGTTCCTGCCACTGACATTCATGTTCATTCTTTTTTATTCTATTCCTGGTGGATGCTGAGAATAACCAATTCTCAGAGTTCTAGAAGGACCCAAAACAGGAGGCCAGAAAACTGTGGCCCGTGGATTAATGAGGCCCAGCACCTATTTTTGTATAGAGCATGAACTCAGAATAGTTTTTAACAGATGAATATTTGTAATCGATTTCATAATAGGAAATGCTAACTTGTAACCTCAATTAAACAAAATGTATACTCCAAAAAAGAATTACATTCTTCTCATTGGTAGGCCAGCATTTTAAGTGTACTCAATTATTATGTATTTAATTTCATCAGGAAAAATGTTGTAGAAATTATTTTTCTCCCTTGTTATATATATATGCTGATATAATATCCTTGATTATGACTCTCAATCCACAAAAAAAAAAAAAGGTTAACAAAGCCTGCCAAAAAAAAAAAACTGGAAAAAGCCCTCCTTTTTTTTCAGACAAAAGAGTCTCCTTTCCTTCAACTTTTCTCATTTTTCATCTATGTTCCAAATCTCTTCTTCTCCTTATCATTCACCTTTGTACCCTCTCACACCCTCCTTCCCTGTGGCATAACTAGCACATTCCCCAAAATAATGAATGTTTCTAAAAATTAGACAAAAATTGAACACCAAGTTGGTTATTTTACATTCTGGGAGGAATGAAACAGAATAGAAAACACAAATCAACAGCCTTATCTTTAGCTTCTAGGTTTTTTTGTTAACTTTCCACAAAAATTAATACCCTATAAGCTGTTTACACACATGTATGAAATGGCAATATCTCAGCCTTTATTTTAGACAAATAACAGTTTTCTACTAGAACATTATTTCCTTGGTCAGCATTGATATAGTTAATGATCCAGATACCCTGTAATGTCAGCAAATCTTCTTTTAGAATTACTTTGGAGTCAGTGAAACGCAGCCTTAAGTTCATGAACAACAAAAGGCAACAAGAGATATAAATCAGAAATATCTAATCCCTGCTGTTTAATACCAAAACTAAGGAG